TGGCTGCCCTGTGGTACTCCCGAAGAAACCTTTACTGGTAAAGAGAGGAAGTTTTTGAAGAGGACTCTTTGAGACCTAGAACAAAGATAGCTAGAAATCCATCTCAGGAGGTTGGGCGGAAACCCTAAAAGGTCAAGTTTATGTGCTAAAAGGGAATGGTTTACAGAGTCGAATGCTTTACTAAAGTCGGTGTAAATAACATCCGTCTGTAAGTTACCTTGAAAGCCTTTAATAATGAAAGAGGTAAACTCTAACAAGTTCGTGGTGGTTGATCGCCGCCTTATAAATCCATGCTGAGTTGGAGATATAAGTGACTTGCAGAGATGTTGCAAGTGCGGAGTTAAAACCTTCTCAAACAATTTGGGAATAGCGGATAACTTTGCTATACCTCTATAATTTTTTGCTTCAGACTTGCTACCTTTTTTATGGAGAGGAATTATAAACGATTCCTTCCAGATTGGGGGGAAGCAAGAGGAATCAATGGACAGGGTGAATAGTTTAAGCAATGGTCCACACAGAGCCTCGGCGCAGTACCTGAGTACACAACCTGGAACCCCGTCTGGACCCGGTGAAAACACCGGCTTAACTAGTCGAAGATCTTGAAGTAGGGAATATTCATTTAACAAGGGACTGAAAATGCCGTTCGACCTCGGTAATCCGAATGGGTACGGTTGACCAGAGTAGCGTTCCTCAGAATAGGTGGTTTGGAAAAACTGGGCAAAAAGATCGGCAATTGCCTGATCATTATTTGCCGACGTATTACAAAATGATAGCGAGGATGGGTGTGCGGACGTTCTACGCTTACTGTTTACGAAGCAGTAAAACTGTTTAGGGTCGTGAGAAAAACGTATCCTGCAACGAGATAGGTAGTTCTTATAGCATTGAGCATTAAGAACTGAAAAGTTTGACCGAGCTATTACATAACGAGAGTGAGAAGTAGGAGAACCCACTTCTTGAAATTTTTTATAAAGTCTTGATTTTAAGTTTTTTAGACTGGATAACTCTTTGGTAAACCAAGGGGGTTTTCCAGATCTAATCGGATAATCGGACAAGAAAGCGGGACACAACAATCAAAAAATGTGCCAAGAGCATTGTAAAAAATGTTTGTGCCTTTTGTGACATCAGTGCACAAGTACAAAGCGGACCAATCAAAATCCCTAATTAGGTTATTAAGCTTCGCAAACTCGGCTTTACGAAAGCAGCGGACACGTTCAGGTAGTCTACTCGACCGATCCAATACAGTTGGTCCTATGTCTAGCGACACCTCGAAAGTAGGGTGGTAGGCGTCTTCAGGTATAGTGAGCGGGCTCGGGTTAACAACACTATGGTCGGATCCGATACAAAGCATAGATCAAGCAATCGACCCAAGGAATTTTTCACATGATTGACTTGAGACAGGGACAGGTCAAGCAAGCCGTCAACAAAGTCATGTCGTGACATGGGCACTAGGATACTAGACTCGTTTACCGAAGACCAAACAGTTCCTGGCAAGTTGAAGTCACCAAGAACTATCATACGATCTTTATCAGATAGCGAGGAAGCAACAGCGGTTAAAGCGGACAAGTGCTGCTCATAAATTGAAATATCCGAAGAAGGTGGGATATACGAGCAAGTAATGAATATAGCGAAAGCGGGAAGAATCAGTTTTACACACAGGAATTCCAGTTCCTGTTGAACTTGGACTGTGAAGTGTTCTGACGTGAAGTAAGAGTCCACTGCAATTAGAACCCCTCCTGCACGTCGAGACGAACGGTCCTTTCTAAAAGTTGTGTACCGACCTGCCAAAACCTCGGAACTAAGAATGTCCGGCTTTAACCAGGTTTCAGTAAACACAATAACGTGGGAAGCAAATGCAACACTATCCCGGAAAAGAATGCTGAGCTTACTACGCAAGCCTCTTACATTCTGATAGGTTACTAAAAGAGAAGTTAGTTTTTTGGAAAGGTTGGAGCAAGACGGGAAGTTGAGGAAGAGGAAGTTGAGGTTGAGGGTGGCACGCTGGAAAGATTTGGAAGCGATATAGGGGGCCTATTCTTCTTCTTAGCCTTAAACTCCTTCACCACCAAATGCTCCGGCCAAAATTTGGTGGAGCAAATGGTGTCAAATTGAGTTGGGGAGATGCTTATCTTAAACGACGCTATCTCCCTGGCATAAGAGAAGTTAAATTTCTCCACCTTTAAACCCACGGCTTTTATTTTGCTTTGAATGAAAGCAGTTACATCATTAGATGTGAGGTCAGGGGCCAGCCGTGAAACAAAAACTTGTCGTTTTGGTGGGACTCCCACCAGTGGTTTAGTGGACGCTGCAGACGTACTTGGCTGCACATTCTCCGAGGCGATGAATTCGGCTACCGAATCTGCATCGCCAGCAGCTTTCGTTGCCTTTGGAGTGGCAAACGAGATCAACTGCTGCACACTTGGAGTGGTCGGAGTCAGTTTTTCGGCGGCGCACGGCTGAAAGACGGTTGGCACTTGCAGGTCCCGCGGAGTGACCTTTTTGCGCCTCGGAGACTCATTCAGCAGTTTTAAACCGCTAAACTGAGCCTCCATGGCTAGGAGCCGATCGTATTGGTTTTTGAAACCAACGGTCAGCTCCTTAAAGCCACTCCGCGTCTGCCTCATGAAAGCCACCATGTCTTTCTCCACCGCACGGCATGCCTCGCAACTGTAATGCAAGCCATTACGTTTGGCTATAGCATCACTCACGAGGCCAGAAAATCCCGCGCATTTTGCGTGGACTACGCTGTCGCAGAGCCAGCAGGGGACATTCGGCTGATCTTGAGTGATCTGCTTCTTGCAGGTTTTTTTGGCGCAGACCACAGCGAATTCCATTTTTATTTTTATTATTTTTATTATTTAAATATTTTCTTAAGAAAATTTGCAAAGAAAAATTAAAATCAAAATAATTAAAAATTTCCAAAACAAATTGGTATCAGACCAATGTGCCAGACAACGCTCAAAGCGGAATTGGTAAGAAAAAAAAAGAGAGCAGAGTGGAGAGCGGTTATAGCGAGAGCTACTAGACAGAGAGCGCTATTGCTCAGAAAGTTGAAAGAGCGAGAGAGAGAGAACAGTTATTGAGGTTGAGGTGATAGCGAGAGAGCGATAAGACAACAAAAGCTACCAGACGAGAGCGGACTGCAATGCAATACTCACTCACTGCAACAACACAACACAAGCCGACGCCGAAAAATAAAAAGTTAAATAATATTTTAACACAAATCAAAAGGCATGCACTCGCGTAAAAGAATTGGTTTCCAGATTGTTGTCTGGTTAGGGAGTATAATTAGAATTTAGTTAGGAAAACTCCGGCTGTTTATTTGAAACAAAAGGAAAAAATGCGGAGCGCAAAACAAAAACACGTCTGATCACTACGAAAGAGAACGGATGTGGTCGGAAACGATTCCTTCTGGACGTTACACACATCCACTTTTACCACAAATCTAATATACCCCAATACTCATTTTGAGTATCAGGTATAACGAGGGGGAACGTTGTGAGTTGCTGCGGACACCGCAACTCTACAGTTATACCCGATACTAAGTCAGTATGGCTCTCCTCCGGCAGACGCCGCTAATATTAAACGACACGACAAACAATGCGTGCGAGAGAGACAGAAAATCAGTCTGAGGGTGACGTCGGGCGCTGCGTAGCCAATGCAAATTGATTTGTTCCTTTTGGCTACAAAAATGATCTGATATGATCCAGATTCAGCAATCTGATAGATATGGTCGTTATGATTCTGCGTTTTTAGTTTTCTCAAATCTGCAATATTGTGGATGCAACAGATTTTCGTCCTTTGTGTGGGCGGAAGGGGGTGGGGCGAAATTCTGAGATATACGTTTTATAGTGACATCTTAAAGCAGTGTGTGCACCAAATTTGGTTACTCTAGCTTTAATAGTCTCTGAGATTTGTGAATATCCCCAGATTTGCATCCTTTGCGGGGGCGGAAGGGGGTGTGGCGAAATTTTGAAACAAACTCGTCTCGGTCCGATATATTAGGAGTGTGGATACCAAATTTGCTTTCTCTAGCTTTTATAGTCTCTGAGATCTAGACGCTAATGTTTTACTCTAAGCAAAGCCGCCTATGCTACGAGTGTGTTAGAGAGAGACAGGGCGAGAAAAAATTAAATTGTTTTCTTGATGCTGGCTATAATAATAATACGATTCAATTCAGATTCTGCATTCTAAAAGATATGGTCATTCTCTACGATTCTGCGTTTTTTGTTTTCTTGTATCTTTAAAATTGTGTATGCCACAGATTTTCGCCCTTTGTGGGGGCGGAAGTGGGCGGGGCAAAGTTTTGAAATATTTTTGGAGCAGTGACATATTACAGAAGTCTGGATCCAAAACATCGTTGCTCTAGCTCTTATAGTCTTTGAGCATTAGGCGCTGAAGGGGACGGACAAACGGACAGACGGACGGACGGACACACAGACATGGCTCAATCGACTCGGCTATTGATGCTGATCAAGAATATATATACTTTATGGGGTCGGAAACGATTCCTTCTGGACGTTACACACATCCACTTTTACCACAAATCTAATATACCCCAATACTCATTTTGAGTATCGGGTATAAAAATAGCCAAGATTGCTTTGACTGATTGTGGTTTTACTGTAACTCTGCTTTCAGGTGTGCATGTGGGCTCGCGTGCCTCGTGAGGAGCCCACCAAGCCAGTTGAGGCTCAGCTCAACGACCTGCTGGCAAAGGTCAAGGAATTTTTCAACGAGGATAGAGTTAAGGTAAGTCTAGCCGACATTAGCCGACCTTAACAGACCAGACAAAAACGTATGCCTAATTTACTCGATTGCTTCTGCACGACTTCCATGATAAGGCCAACGCTGCTGCTGAAGAAGGTCTTGATGTGAACGAGAAGATCCAGAAGGCGCCAAAACCCTAAAAATGCAGCTCTAAAGCAACGAATTTAAAAATCAAATCAAAAGATGTGCCCAATAAAGGTTTAAACCACAATTTAAAGGTTTTTAGCGTCAGCTCAATAATGCAAAAACATCCACAAACGGAGCTGGATCCGGGTCATGGCAAATAGCCGGTACAGGGCCTGAGGTCCCGCCAAGGGAAGCTCCTGGCGGTTTGCGCACTTGCCGGTTGAATCGAAAATATGGCGGTAGATACGCGGGCGTATGTCGTGCAGCTGCTTGGCGCTGCAGACACTCTGCGGCATCTGGATCAAATGGTCAACCATGAGGGACACTCGTGGGGTAGTCGAAAGCAATAGCTGGCCGCTGACGGTGATTTTTTCCCCAGCTCTTTTCAGACGTAGACGCAGCACCCAATCCTCCTCAAAGGCACGAATCGTCTGTGGGGATCGGGATAAGAGATCATCAGAGGTATGCTGCAGACGAGTTCTGGTTTTCCAAAACCTTACCTCAGACTCGAGGGTCCGTGGGTGTAAACCCTCTGAGCGGTGTATCCACTTCATTCTCAAGGTGAAAAATTCCACCCGGCTAGCACTCAGCACCCGATGGAGCTGCAACACGGGCTTTTGGGCCTCAAGCTCCCTGTCCTCGACATGCAGCATATCTAGGATCTCCTTTCCCTGATTCTGGGGAAACCCACAGTCGGAATCATGTGAGACGCTGTCCTTGTAGGAGCCCTTCCAAGAACAGCCCACGCAGTGGTACTTCCAGCAAACCACACGCCCCTCACAAACGAACTCCAAGTGTCTGGAGAGATCTTTCCTATCTGAGAACTGGTCATTGCAGCTGGGGCAGCTGATGGGTAGCTCCCAGAGGGTCTGGCGCACCACTAGATTCTGCTCCTAATCGTAGTTTCTAATGAGCGATCGACAACTGGGGCAGCAGGCACGCGTTTTATTGAAGATGGCAACAGCCAGAACGGCGGTCTGGCAATTGCAGAAAAATTGCATATCAAAGCGTTGCCGCTTGGTCGCAAAACAGCTGTTGATAAGCTTTATCAAAGCTCACAAGATCTTCAACTCGAATTTTTTTACGGCCTAGTTTTAGGCTATAATTTTGGGAGTTAGCCGTGGATAATTAAAATACAAGAAGACACGATAAGCGTCGAATATTACACCCCCCGCTGAAATCACAGTTTGGGGTCTTGCTAACCAAAGCGTGATCCACACTTGGAGTGCTGGATACGATTTATTGTTTAATATTATTTGCGTGATATTTACCAATAAAGCGACCCTGGAAATCTTTTCTTAATGCGAGCTTTCCGAAACGTAGGTACCAGTTTCGCATTAATGCCTTTCACAAAACTACTCTGGTCAAAATTTCGTCTAGACACTTCTTGACCCACTTGAAAGTTTACTTCTCGGCTTCGAAGATTATAGATATTTTCATTGCGAACATGCTGCTGTTTCATTGCTTCTGCAGCGGTCTTGCGAATTAGCTCGAAGGAATCGTCGCGATCGAAGACTACTGTTCGGTCCTCCAACATACTGAGGTTTCGTAGGAGTTGATAAGTTGAACCGCCAGTAATCATGTTTTGGCCAAAAGCAACAGGATATGGGCTACTTTTGATGGCTGCATGCACACTGGATTGATCGGGCTTAATGTACGCTTTGATAGCAGCGAGTACCGAGCGATTTACCCGCTCTGAGGCATTGGTTTGGGGAGCGTAGGCGGCGGTGTACGAATGTCGAATTTGGTATTTCGCTAACAGATCCTTGAACTTGTGTGACTTGAATTGAACGCCGTTATCTGACACTATCAGCAATTAAACAGGTCTTCCTCCATGAACCGAGTTACGAAAGGAAATTTAGAAAAATGATCGAGTACTACAAAAATGCCTATATTCCCGGATCGACTTCGGGGGTACGGACCTAGAAAATCGACGTAAAGTTTTTGAAATAGACGAAAGGTCTCCCCTGCTTTGCCCATTGACGGACGTAGAGGATGATTGGGGTGCTCGGTCGTTCCTATTCGAGGAAGTCGGTCAGCTGTACTCTTCGTCGCCCAAAAAAAACATAACATCTAATTCGTTAATTCCCTTCCTGTTTTGCTACTCAAAAAAAATTCGCTTCAGCAGCGATCAAATACAAAAAAAAACGAGGGGGAACGTTGTGAGTTGCTGCGGACACCGCAACTCTACAGTTATACCCGATACTAAGTCAGTATGGCTCTCCTCCGGCAGACGCTAATATTAAACGACACGACAAAGAATGCGTGCGAGAGAGACAGAAAATCAGTCTGAGCGTGACGTCGGGCGCTGCGTAGCCAATGCAAATTGATTTGTTCCTTTTGGCTACAAAAATGTTCTGATATGATCCAGATTCAGCAATCTTATAGATATGGTCGTTATCTATGATTCTGCGTTTTTAGTTTTCTCAAATCTGCAATATTGTGGATGCAACAGATTTTCGTTCTTTGTGTGGGCGGAAGGGGGTGGGGCGAAATTCTGAGATATACGTTTTATAGTGACATCTTAAAGGAGTGTGTGTACCAAATTTGGTTATTCTAGCCTTAATAGTCTCTGAGATTTGTGGTTGCCTCAGATTTTCGTCCTTTGCGGGGGCGGAAGGGGGTGTGGCGAAATTTTGAAACAAACTCGTCTCGGTCCGATATATTAGGAGTGTGGAAACCAAATTTGCTTGCTCTAGCTTTTATAGTCTCTGAGATCTAGACGCTACTGTTTTACTCTAAGCAAAGCCGCCTATGCGTGTGTGTTAGAGAGAGACAGGGCGAGAAAAAATTAAATTCTTTTCTTGATGCTGGCTATAATAATAATACGATCCAATTCAGATTCTGCATTCTAAAAGATATGGTCATTCTCTACGATTCTTCGTTTTTTGTTTTCTCGTATCTTTAAAATTGTGTATGGGCGGGGCAAAGTTTTGAAATATTTTTGGAGCAGTGACATATCACAGAAGTCTGGATCCAAAACATCGTTGCTCTAGCTCTTATAGTCTTTGAGCATTAGGCGCTGAAGGGGACGGACAGACGGACAGACGGACGGACGGATAGACAGACATGGCTCAATCGACTCGGCTATTGATGCTGATCAAGAATATATATACTTTATCGGAATCGGAAACGATTCCTTCTGGACGTTACACACATCCACTTTTACCACAAATCTAATATACCCCAATACTCATTTTGAGTATCGGGTATAAAAATAGCCAAGATTGCTTTGACTGATTGTGGTTTTACTGTAACTCTGCTTTCAGGTGTGCATGTGTGCTCCCGTGCCTCGTGAGGAGCCCACCAAGCCAGTTGAGGCTCAGCTCAACGACCTGCTGGCAAAGGTCAAGGAATTTTTCAACGAGGATAGCGTTAAGGTAAGTCTAGCCGACACTAGCCGACCTTAACAGACCAGACAAAAACGTATGCCTAATTTACTCGATTGCTTCTGCACGACTTCCATGATAAGGCCAACGCTGCTGCTGAAGAAGGTCTTGCTGTGAACGAGCAGATCCAGAAGGCGCCCAAACCCTAAAAATGCAGCTCTAAAGCAACGAATTTAAAAATCAAATCAAAAGATGTGCCCAATAAAGGTTTAAACCACAATTTAAAGGTTTTTAGCGTCAGCTCAATAATGCAAAAACATCCACAAACGGAGCTGGATCCGGGTCATGGCAAATAGCCGGTACAGGGCCTGAGGTCCCGCCAAGGGAAGCTCCTGGCGCTTTGCGCACTTGCCGGTTGAATCGAAAATATGGCGGTAGATACGCGGGCGTATGTCGTGCAGCTGCTTGGCGCTGCAGACACTCTGCGGCATCTGGATCAAATGGTCAACCATGAGGGACACTCGTGGGGTAGTCGAAAGCAATAGCTGGCCGCTGACGGTGATTTTTTCCCCAGCTCTTTTCAGACGTAGACGCAGCACCCAATCCTCCTCAAAGGCACGAATCGACTGTGGGGATCGGGATAAGAGATCATCAGAGGTATGCTGCAGACGAGTTCTGGTTCTCCAAAACCTTACCTCAGACTCGAGGGTCCGTGGGTGTAAACCCTCTGAGCGGTGTATCCACTTCATTCTCAAGGTGAAAAATTCCACCCGGCTAGCACTCAGCACCCGATGGAGCTGCAACACGGGCTTTTGGGCCTCAAGCTCCCTGTCCTCGACATGCAGCATATCTAGGATCTCCTTTCCCTGCTTCTGGGGAAACCCACAGTCGGAATCATGTGAGACGCTGTCCTTGTAGGAGCCCTTCCAAGAACAGCCCACGCAGTGGTACTTGCAGCAAACCACACGCCCCTCACAAACGAACTCCAAGTGTCTGGAGAGATCTTTCCTATCTGAGAACTGGTCATTGCAGCTGGGGCAGCTGATGGGTAGCTCCCAGAGGGTCTGGCGCACCACTAGATTCTGCTCCTGATCGTAGTTTCTAATGAGCGATCGACAACTGGGGCAGCAGGCACGCGTTTTATTGAAGATGGCAACAGCCAGAACGGCGGTCTGGCAATTGAAGAAAAATTGTATATCAAAGCGTTGCCGCTTGGTCGCAAAACAGCTGTTGATAAGCTTTATCAAAGCTCACAAGATCTTCAACTCGAATTTTTTTACGGCCTAGTTTTAGGCTATAATTTTGGGAGTTAGCCGTGGATAATTAAAATACAAGAAGACACGATAAGCGTCGAATATTACACCCCCCGCTGAAATCACAGTTTGGGGTCTTGCTAACCAAAGCGTGATCCACACTTGGAGTGCTGGATACGATTTATTGTTTAATATTATTTGCGTGATATTTACCAATAAAGCGACCCTGGAAATCTTTTCTTAATGCGAGCTTTCCGAAACGTAGGTACCAGTTTCGCATTAATGCCTTTCACAAAACTACTCTGGTCAAAATTTCGTCTAGACACTTCTTGACCCACTTGAAAGTTTACTTCTCGGCTTCGAAGATTATAGATATTTTCATTGCGAACATGCTGCTGTTTCATTGCTTCTGCAGCGGTCTTGCGAATTAGCTCGAAGGAATCGTCGCGATCGAAGACTACTGTTCGGTCCTCCAACATACTGAGGTTTCGTAGGAGTTGATAAGTTGAACCGCCAGTAATCATGTTTTGGCCAAAAGCAACAGGATATGGGCTACTTTTGATGGCTGCATGCACACTGGATTGATCGGGCTTAATGTACGCTTTGATAGCAGCGAGTACCGAGCGATTTACCCGCTCTGAGGCATTGGTTTGGGGAGCGTAGGCGGCGGTGTACGAATGTCGAATTTGGTATTTCGCTAACAGATCCTTGAACTTGTGTGACTTGAATTGAACGCCGTTATCTGACACTATCAGCAATTAAACAGGTCTTCCTCCATGAACCGAGTTACGAAAGGAAATTTAGAAAAATGATCGAGTACTACAAAAATGCCTATATTCCCGGATCGACTTCGGGGGTACGGACCTAGAAAATCGACGTAAAGTTTTTGAAATAGACGAAAGGTCTCCCCTGCTTTGCCCATTGACGGACGTAGAGGATGATTGGGGTGCTCGGTCGTTCCTATTCGAGGAAGTCGGTCAGCTGTACTCTTCGTCGCCCAAAAAAAACATAACATCTAATTCGTTAATTCCCTTCCTGTTTTGCTACTCAAAAAAAATTCGCTTCAGCAGCGATCAAATACAAAAAAAAACGAGGGGGAACGTTGTGAGTTGCTGCGGACACCGCAACTCTACAGTTATACCCGATACTAAGTCAGTATGGCTCTCCTCCGGCAGACGCTAATATTAAACGACACGACAAAGAATGCGTGCGAGAGAGACAGAAAATCAGTCTGAGCGTGACGTCGGGCGCTGCGTAGCCAATGCAAATTGATTTGTTCCTTTTGGCTACAAAAATGTTCTGATATGATCCAGATTCAGCAATCTGATAGATATGGTCGTTATCTATGATTCTGCGTTTTTAGTTTTCTCAAATCTGCAATATTGTGGATGCAACAGATTTTCGTTCTTTGTGTGGGCGGAAGGGGGTGGGGCGAAATTCTGAGATATACGTTTTATAGTGACATCTTAAAGGAGTGTGTGTACCAAATTTGGTTATTCTAGCCTTAATAGTCTCTGAGATTTGTGGTTGCCTCAGATTTTCGTCCTTTGCGGGGGCGGAAGGGGGTGTGGCGAAATTTTGAAACAAACTCGTCTCGGTCCGATATATTAGGAGTGTGGAAACCAAATTTGCTTGCTCTAGCTTTTATAGTCTCTGAGATCTAGACGCTACTGTTTTACTCTAAGCAAAGCCGCCTATGCGTGTGTGTTAGAGAGAGACAGGGCGAGAAAAAATTAAATTCTTTTCTTGATGCTGGCTATAATAATAATACGATCCAATTCAGATTCTGCATTCTAAAAGATATGGTCATTCTCTACGATTCTTCGTTTTTTGTTTTCTCGTATCTTTAAAATTGTGTATGGGCGGGGCAAAGTTTTGAAATATTTTTGGAGCAGTGACATATCACAGAAGTCTGGATCCAAAACATCGTTGCTCTAGCTCTTATAGTCTTTGAGCATTAGGCGCTGAAGGGGACGGACAGACGGACAGACGGACGGACGGATAGACAGACATGGCTCAATCGACTCGGCTATTGATGCTGATCAAGAATATATATACTTTATCGGAATCGGAAACGATTCCTTCTGGACGTTACACACATCCACTTTTACCACAAATCTAATATACCCCAATACTCATTTTGAGTATCGGGTATAAAAATAGCCAAGATTGCTTTGACTGATTGTGGTTTTACTGTAACTCTGCTTTCAGGTGTGCATGTGTGCTCCCGTGCCTCGTGAGGAGCCCACCAAGCCAGTTGAGGCTCAGCTCAACGACCTGCTGGCAAAGGTCAAGGAATTTTTCAACGAGGATAGCGTTAAGGTAAGTCTAGCCGACACTAGCCGACCTTAACAGACCAGACAAAAACGTATGCCTAATTTACTCGATTGCTTCTGCACGACTTCCATGATAAGGCCAACGCTGCTGCTGAAGAAGGTCTTGCTGTGAACGAGCAGATCCAGAAGGCGCCCAAACCCTAAAAATGCAGCTCTAAAGCAACGAATTTAAAAATCAAATCAAAAGATGTGCCCAATAAAGGTTTAAACCACAATTTAAAGGTTTTTAGCGTCAGCTCAATAATGCAAAAACATCCACAAACGGAGCTGGATCCGGGTCATGGCAAATAGCCGGTACAGGGCCTGAGGTCCCGCCAAGGGAAGCTCCTGGCGCTTTGCGCACTTGCCGGTTGAATCGAAAATATGGCGGTAGATACGCGGGCGTATGTCGTGCAGCTGCTTGGCGCTGCAGACACTCTGCGGCATCTGGATCAAATGGTCAACCATGAGGGACACTCGTGGGGTAGTCGAAAGCAATAGCTGGCCGCTGACGGTGATTTTTTCCCCAGCTCTTTTCAGACGTAGACGCAGCACCCAATCCTCCTCAAAGGCACGAATCGACTGTGGGGATCGGGATAAGAGATCATCAGAGGTATGCTGCAGACGAGTTCTGGTTCTCCAAAACCTTACCTCAGACTCGAGGGTCCGTGGGTGTAAACCCTCTGAGCGGTGTATCCACTTCATTCTCAAGGTGAAAAATTCCACCCGGCTAGCACTCAGCACCCGATGGAGCTGCAACACGGGCTTTTGGGCCTCAAGCTCCCTGTCCTCGACATGCAGCATATCTAGGATCTCCTTTCCCTGCTTCTGGGGAAACCCACAGTCGGAATCATGTGAGACGCTGTCCTTGTAGGGGCCCTTCCAAGAACAGCCCACGCAGTGGTACTTGCAGCAAACCACACGCCCCTCACAAACGAACTCCAAGTGTCTGGAGAGATCTTTCCTATCTGAGAACTGGTCATTGCAGCTGGGGCAGCTGATGGGTAGCTCCCAGAGGGTCTGGCGCACCACTAGATTCTGCTCCTGATCGTAGTTTCTAATGAGCGATCGACAACTGGGGCAGCAGGCACGCGTTTTATTGAAGATGGCAACAGCCAGAACGGCGGTCTGGCAATTGAAGAAAAATTGTATATCAAAGCGTTGCCGCTTGGTCGCAAAACAGCTGTTGATAAGCTTTATCAAAGCTCACAAGATCTTCAACTCGAATTTTTTTACGGCCTAGTTTTAGGCTATAATTTTGGGAGTTAGCCGTGGATAATTAAAATACAAGAAGACACGATAAGCGTCGAATATTACACCCCCCGCTGAAATCACAGTTTGGGGTCTTGCTAACCAAAGCGTGATCCACACTTGGAGTGCTGGATACGATTTATTGTTTAATATTATTTGCGTGATATTTACCAATAAAGCGACCCTGGAAATCTTTTCTTAATGCGAGCTTTCCGAAACGTAGGTACCAGTTTCGCATTAATGCCTTTCACAAAACTACTCTGGTCAAAATTTCGTCTAGACACTTCTTGACCCACTTGAAAGTTTACTTCTCGGCTTCGAAGATTATAGATATTTTCATTGCGAACATGCTGCTGTTTCATTGCTTCTGCAGCGGTCTTGCGAATTAGCTCGAAGGAATCGTCGCGATCGAAGACTACTGTTCGGTCCTCCAACATACTGAGGTTTCGTAGGAGTTGATAAGTTGAACCGCCAGTAATCATGTTTTGGCCAAAAGCAACAGGATATGGGCTACTTTTGATGGCTGCATGCACACTGGATTGATCGGGCTTAATGTACGCTTTGATAGCAGCGAGTACCGAGCGATTTACCCGCTCTGAGGCATTGGTTTGGGGAGCGTAGGCGGCGGTGTACGAATGTCGAATTTGGTATTTCGCTAACAGATCCTTGAACTTGTGTGACTTGAATTGAACGCCGTTATCTGACACTATCAGCAATTAAACAGGTCTTCCTCCATGAACCGAGTTACGAAAGGAAATTTAGAAAAACGATCGAGTACTACAAAAATGCCTATATTCCCGGATCGACTTCGGGGGTACGGACCTAGAAAATCGACGTAAAGTTTTTGAAATAGACGAAAGGTCTCCCCTGCTTTGCCCATTGACGGACGTAGAGGATGATTGGGGTGCTCGGTCGTTCCTATTCGAGGAAGTCGGTCAGCTGTACTCTTCGTCGCCCAAAAAAAACATAACATCTAATTCGTTAATTCCCTTCCTGTTTTGCTACTCAAAAAAAATTCGCTTCAGCAGCGATCAAATACAAAAAAAAACGAGGGGGAACGTTGTGAGTTGCTGCGGACACCGCAACTCTACAGTTATACCCGATACTAAGTCAGTATGGCTCTCCTCCGGCAGACGCTAATATTAAACGACACGACAAAGAATGCGTGCGAGAGAGACAGAAAATCAGTCTGAGCGTGACGTCGGGCGCTGCGTAGCCAATGCAAATTGATTTGTTCCTTTTGGCTACAAAAATGATCTGATATGATCCAGATTCAGCAATCTGATAGATATGGTCGTTATCTATGATTCTGCGTTTTTAGTTTTCTCAAATCTGCAATATTGTGGATGCAACAGATTTTCGTCCTTTGTGTGGGCGGAAGGGGGTGGGGCGAAATTCTGAGATATACGTTTTATAGTGACATCTTAAAGGAGTGTGTGTACCAAATTTGGTTATTCTAGCCTTAATAGTCTCTGAGATTTGTGGTTGCCTCAGATTTTCGTCCTTTGCGGGGGCGGAAGGGGGTGTGGCGAAATTTTGAAACAAACTCGTCTCGGTCCGATATATTAGGAGTGTGGAAACCAAATTTGCTTGCTCTAGCTTTTATAGTCTCTGAGATCTAGACGCTACTGTTTTACTCTAAGCAAAGCCGCCTATGCGTGTGTGTTAGAGAGAGACAGGGCGAGAAAAAATTAAATTCTTTTCTTGATGCTGGCTATAATAATAATACGATCCAATTCAGATTCTGCATTCTAAAAGATATGGTCATTCTCTACGATTCTTCGTTTTTTGTTTTCTCGTATCTTTAAAATTGTGTATGGGCGGGGCAAAGTTTTGAAATATTTTTGGAGCAGTGACATATCACAGAAGTCTGGATCCAAAACATCGTTGCTCTAGCTCTTATAGTCTTTGAGCATTAGGCGCTGAAGGGGACGGACAGACGGACAGACGGACGGACGGACAGACAGACATGGCTCAATCGACTCGGCTATTGATGCTGATCAAGAATATATATACTTTATCGGAATCGGAAACGATTCCTTCTGGACGTTACACACATCCACTTTTACCACAAATCTAATATACCCCAATACTCATTTTGAGTATCGGGCCTTTGACTGATTGTGGTTTTACTGTAACTCTGCTTTCAGGTGTGCATGTGTGCTCCCGTGCCTCGTGAGGAGCCCACCAAGCCAGTTGAGGCTTAGCTCAACGACCTGCTGGCAAAGGTCAAGGAATTTTTCAACGAGGATAGCGTTAAGGTAAGTCTAGCCGACACTAGCCGACCTTAACAGACCAGACAAAAACGTATGCCTAATTTACTCGATTGCTTCTGCACGACTTCCATGATAAGGCCAACGCTGCTGCTGAAGAAGGTCTTGCTGTGAACGAGCAGATCCAGAAGGCGCCCAAACCCTAAAAATGCAGCTCTAAAGCAACGAATTTAAAAATCAAATCAAAAGATGTGCCCAATAAAGGTTTAAACCACAATTTAAAGGTTTTTAGCGTCAGCTCAATAATGCAAAAACATCCACAAACGGAGCTGGATCCGGGTCATGGCAAATAGCCGGTACAGGGCCTGAGGTCCCGCCAAGGGAAGCTCCTGGCGCTTTGCGCACTTGCCGGTTGAATCGAAAATATGGCGGTAGATACGCGGGCGTATGTCGTGCAGCTGCTTGGCGCTGCAGACACTCTGCGGCATCTGGATCAAATGGTCAACCATGAGGGACACTCGTGGGGTAGTCGAAAGCAATAGCTGGCCGCTGACGGTGATTTTTTCCCCAGCTCTTTTCAGACGTAGACGCAGCACCCAATCCTCCTCAAAGGCACGAATCGACTGTGGGGATCGGGATAAGAGATCATCAGAGGTATGCTGCAGACGAGTTCTGGTTCTCCAAAACCTTACCTCAGACTCGAGGGTCCGTGGGTGTAAACCCTCTGAGCGGTGTATCCACTTCATTCTCAAGGTGAAAAATTCCACCCGGCTAGCACTCAGCACCCGATGGAGCTGCAACACGGGCTTTTGGGCCTCAAGCTCCCTGTCCTCGACATGCAGCATATCTAGGATCTCCTTTCCCTGCTTCTGGGGAAACCCACAGTCGGAATCATGTGAGACGCTGTCCTTGTAGGGGCCCTTCCAAGAACAGCCCACGCAGTGGTACTTGCAGCAAACCACACGCCCCTCACAAACGAACTCCAAGTGTCTGGAGAGATCTTTCCTATCTGAGAACTGGTCATTGCAGCTGGGGCAGCTGATGGGTAGCTCCCAGAGGGTCTGGCGCACCACTAGATTCTGCTCCTGATCGTAGTTTCTAATGAGCGATCGACAACTGGGGCAGCAGGCACGCGTTTTATTGAAGATGGCAACAGCCAGAACGGCGGTCTGGCAATTGCAGAAAAATTGTATATCAAAGCGTTGCCGCTTGGTCGCAAAACAGCTGTTGATAAGCTTTATCAAAGCTCACAAGATCTTCAACTCGAATTTTTTTACGGCCTAGTTTTAGGCTATAATTTTGGGAGTTAGCCGTGGATAATTAAAATACAAGAAGACACGATAAGCGTCGAATATTACACCCCCCGCTGAAATCACAGTTTGGGGTCTTGCTAACCAAAGCGTGATCCACACTTGGAGTGCTGGATACGATTTATTGTTTAATATTATTTGCGTGATATTTACCAATAAAGCGACCCTGGAAATCTTTTCTTAATGCGAGCTTTCCGAAACGTAGGTGCCAGTTTCGCATTAATGCCTTTCACAAAACTACTCTGGTCAAAATTTCGTCTAGACACTTCTTGACCCACTTGAAAGTTTACTTCTCGGCTTCGAAGATTATAGATATTTTCATTGCGAACATGCTGCTGTTTCATTGCTTCTGCAGCGGTCTTGCGAATTAGCTCGAAGGAATCGTCGCGATCAAAGACTACTGTTCGGTCCTCCAACATACTGAGGTTTCGTAGGAGTTGATAAGTTGAACCGCCAGTAATCATGTTTTGGCCAAAAGCAACAGGATATGGGCTACTTTTGATGGCTGCATGCACACTGGATTGATCGGGCTTAATGTACGCTTTGATAGCAGCGAGTACCAAGCGATTTACCCGCTCTGAGGCATTGGTTTGGGGAGCGTAGGCGGCGGTGTACGAATGTCGAATTTGGTATTTCGCTAACAGATCCTTGAACTTGTGTGACTTGAATTGAACGCCGTTATCTGACACTATCAGCAATTAAACATTCCTCCATGAACCGAGTTACGAAAGGAAATTTAGAAAAATGATCGAGTACTACAAAAATGCCTATATTCCCGGATCGACTTCGGGGGTACGGACCTAGAAAATCGACGTAAAGTTTTTGAAATAGACGAAAGGTCTCCCCTGCTTTGCCCATTGACGGACGTAGAGGATGATTGGGGTGCTCGGTCGTTCCTATTCGAGGAAGTCGGTCAGCTGTACTCTTCGTCGCCCAAAAAAAGCATAACATCTAATTCGTTAATTTCCTTCCTGTTTTGCTACTCAAAAAAAATTCGCTTCAGCAGCGATCAAATACAAAAAAAAACGAGGGGGAACGTTGTGAGTTGCTGCGGACACCGCAACTCTACAGTTATACCCGATACTAAGTCAGTATGGCTCTCCTCCGGCAGACGCTAATATTAAACGACACGACAAAGAATGCGTGCGAGAGAGACAGAAAATCAGTCTGAGCGTGACGTCGGGCGCTGCGTAGCCAATGCAAATTGATTTGTTCCTTTTGGCTACAAAAATGATCTGATATGATCCAGATTCAGCAATCTGATAGATATGGTCGTTATCTATGATTCTGCGTTTTTAGTTTTCTCAAATCTGCAATATTGTGGATGCAACAGATTTTCGTCCTTTGTGTGGGCGGAAGGGGGTGGGGCGAAATTCTGAGATATACGTTTTATAGTGACATCTTAAAGGAGTGTGTGTACCAAATTTGGTTATTCTAGCCTTAATAGTCTCTGAGATTTGTGGTTGCCTCAGATTTTCGTCCTTTGCGGGGGCGGAAGGGGGTGTGGCGAAATTTTGAAACAAACTCGTCTCGGTCCGATATATTAGGAGTGTGGAAACCAAATTTGCTTGCTCTAGCTTTTATAGTCTCTGAGATCTAGACGCTACTGTTTTACTCTAAGCAAAGCCGCCTATGCGTGTGTGTTAGAGAGAGACAGGGCGAGAAAAAATTAAATTCTTTTCTTGATGCTGGCTATAATAATAATACGATCCAATTCAGATTCTGCATTCTAAAAGATATGGTCATTCTCTACGATTCTTCGTTTTTTGTTTTCTCGTATCTTTAAAATTGTGTATGGGCGGGGCAAAGTTTTGAAATATTTTTGGAGCAGTGACATATCACAGAAGTCTGGATCCAAAACATCGTTGCTCTAGCTCTTATAGTCTTTGAGCATTAGGCGCTGAAGGGGACGGACAGACGGACAGACGGACGGACGGACAGACAGACATGGCTCAATCGACTCGGCTATTGATGCTGATCAAGAATATATATACTTTATCGGAATCGGAAACGATTCCTTCTGGACGTTACACACATCCACTTTTACCACAAATCTAATATACCCCAATACTCATTTTGAGTATCGGGCCTTTGACTGATTGTGGTTTTACTGTAACTCTGCTTTCAGGTGTGCATGTGTGCTCCCGTGCCTCGTGAGGAGCCCACCAAGCCAGTTGAGGCTTAGCTCAACGACCTGCTGGCAAAGGTCAAGGAATTTTTCAACGAGGATAGCGTTAAGGTAAGTCTAGCCGACACTAGCCGACCTTAACAGACCAGACAAAAACGTATGCCTAATTTACTCGATTGCTTCTGCACGACTTCCATGATAAGGCCAACGCTGCTGCTGAAGAAGGTCTTGCTGTGAACGAGCAGATCCAGAAGGCGCCCAAACCCTAAAAATGCAGCTCTAAAGCAACGAATTTAAAAATCAAATCAAAAGATGTGCCCAATAAAGGTTTAAACCACAATTTAAAGGTTTTTAGCGTCAGCTCAATAATGCAAAAACATCCACAAACGGAGCTGGATCCGGGTCATGGCAAATAGCCGGTACAGGGCCTGAGGTCCCGCCAAGGGAAGCTCCTGGCGCTTTGCGCACTTGCCGGTTGAATCGAAAATATGGCGGTAGATACGCGGGCGTATGTCGTGCAGCTGCTTGGCGCTGCAGACACTCTGCGGCATCTGGATCAAATGGTCAACCATGAGGGACACTCGTGGGGTAGTCGAAAGCAATAGCTGGCCGCTGACGGTGATTTTTTCCCCAGCTCTTTTCAGACGTAGACGCAGCACCCAATCCTCCTCAAAGGCACGAATCGACTGTGGGGATCGGGATAAGAGATCATCAGAGGTATGCTGCAGACGAGTTCTGGTTCTCCAAAACCTTACCTCAGACTCGAGGGTCCGTGGGTGTAAACCCTCTGAGCGGTGTATCCACTTCATTCTCAAGGTGAAAAATTCCACCCGGCTAGCACTCAGCACCCGATGGAGCTGCAACACGGGCTTTTGGGCCTCAAGCTCCCTGTCCTCGACATGCAGCATATCTAGGATCTCCTTTCCCTGCTTCTGGGGAAACCCACAGTCGGAATCATGTGAGACGCTGTCCTTGTAGGGGCCCTTCCAAGAACAGCCCACGCAGTGGTACTTGCAGCAAACCACACGCCCCTCACAAACGAACTCCAAGTGTCTGGAGAGATCTTTCCTATCTGAGAACTGGTCATTGCAGCTGGGGCAGCTGATGGGTAGCTCCCAGAGGGTCTGGCGCACCACTAGATTCTGCTCCTGAATTAAGCAAACATTTCCCAGTACAATTCAAGAAGCAATTAACTAAACTATGTACCAATTTTAGTGACGTATTCGGGCTTGAAACCGAATCAATCACAACAAATAATTTTTATAAACAGAAATTGAGATTGAGGGATGACGAACCTATATATATAAAGAACTATCGAAGTCCGCATAGCCAAGTTGAGGAAATTAAAAAACAAGTAGGAAAATTAATCAACGACAATATTGTCGAACCATCCGTATCAGAATACAACAGCCCACTTCTACTTGTCCCAAAGAAAGCCCTTCCGGGTTCAGAACAAAAGAAATGGCGATTAGTAGTTGACTATCGTCAAATAAACAAAAAACTCCTGGCCGACAAATTACCACTACCTAGAATTGATGACATTTTGGATCAACTAGGTAGAGCAAAGTATTTCTCATGCCTTGACTTAATGTCAGGTTTTCATCAAATCGAACTAGAAGAAAGTTCGCGAAATATAACGTCTTTTTCAACGAGCAATGGCTCATATCGCTTCACGCGACTACCATTTGGTTTAAAAATAGCGCCGAATTCATTTCAAAGAATGATGACTATAGCCTTCTCTGGACTTGAAGCTTCGCAAGCCTTCCTGTATATGGACGATCTAATAGTCATGGGTTGTTCCGAAAAACATATGCTTAAAAACTTAACAGATATTTTTGAGATATGTAGGAAACACAACCTAAAATTACATCCACAAAAATGTTCATTTTTTATGCATGAAGTGACCTTTCTTGGTCATAAATGCACAGATAAAGGAATCTTGCCAGATGACAAGAAATATGACGTCATCAAAAACTATCCAGTCCCACATGATGCGGACAGCGCTAGACGATTTATTGCATTTTGCAATTATTATAGACGTTTTATTAAAAACTTCGCCGACTATTCCCGGCACATAACTAGATTATGTAAAAAGAATGTCGTATGTCGTATGTCGCTCGACAGACGGATAAGTACATAATTCCACACAATTTCCATTTAGTTAATCAAAATTTTGCAATTCCGTGTGATGGAATGATAGGCATTGATTTCATAAAAGAATTAAACTGCCTAATAGACTTAAAACCTGCAGAGGATTGGTTAATAATACGACCAAATAATATAAAAATTAAAATTTATGTTCCAATAACATACAGTTCTGGTAACAATACAATTCTTCTACCAGCAAGATCACAAGTTGTCAGAAAAATAGAATTAACGTCCGATATAGAAACCATATTGATCCCAAACCAGGAAATTCAACCTGGTATTTATGTAGCAAATACAATAACTTCAAAAAAATAATACATTTGTCCGATTGCTGAATACAACCAGTACCAACCAATTAGTACATATAAATAACATACAATATGAACCACTTTCGAATTACAATGTAATTCAAACAACTCAAAAAATCCGAGAAAAAACTGTCATAGCTGAATTAAGCAAACATTTCCCAGTACAATTCAAGAAGCAATTAACTAAACTATGTACCAATTTTAGTGACGTATTCGGGCTTGAAACCGAATCAATCACAACAATTAATTTTTATACCCGATACTCAAAATGAGTATTGGGGTATATTAGATTTGTGGTAAAAGTGGATGTGTGTAACGTCCAGAAGGAATCGTTTCCGACCCTATAAAGTATATATATTCTTGATCAGCATCAATAGCCGAGTCGATTGAGCCCTGTCTGTCTGTCCGTCCGTCCGTCTGTCCGTCTGTCCGTCTGTCCGTCCCCTTCAGCGCCTAATGCTCAAAGACTATAAGAGCTAGAGCAACGATGTTTTGGATCCAGACTTCTGTGATATGTCACTGCTCCAAAAATATTTCAAAACTTTGCCCCGCCCACTTCCGCCCCCACAAAGGGCGAAAATCTGTGGCATCCACAATTTCGACGATACGAGAAAACTAAAAACGCAGAATCATAGATAATGACCATATCTATCAGATTGCTGAATCTGGATCAGATCAGATAATTTTTGTAGCCAAAAGGAACAAATCAATTTGCATTGGCTACGCAGCGCCCGACGTCACGCACAGACTGATTTTCTGTCTCTCTCGCACGCACTCTTTGTCGTGTCGTTTAATATTAGCGGCGCTGCCGGAGGAGAGCCATACTGACTTAGTATCGGGTATAACTGTAGAGTTGCGGTGTCCGCAGCAACTCACAACGTTCCCCCTCGTTATAAACAGAAATTGAGATTGAGGAAGACTAACCTAAATGTGACCTAGTAGATAATGTATCAGGACAACTGCAAAAACTCTGAAAAAAAATCGTACAAAAAAAAAATATAAAAACTTCAAAATGCATTGGTGTGTGTGTCCCGTTCGTGTAATCGCCGACGCGCCAGGTCCCCACCTCAGCCCCGTGCCACACGGAACCGCCTCCTCTCCGTCCCCGACCTAGCCATCAGTGGGTAGACGGGCATCGGTAGCACCAGCTCCGGGTCAGGCCAAGGCCGACTTCCAACACGGCCAATGGCCAATGGACAATACGGTCCATCAGTCCATCAGATGGTAAAGCACAAGCAGCACGCTCTCGTGAGCGGCGCCCCCTCGTCGCCCTCCGCCCTAAGGGGCTTGCGCGCTGAGAACGGCCGGCGGTGGCACTGCGGTACGGTCCGAGTCTGGCTGGACAGGATAGGCACAACCGTCTCGGACCGGACCATAATGGATGAGGTGCGTCCACAAAAATAACCATAGAGATGTTTAAGGCAAATTCTAAATAAACAAAAGTATAAACCAAAAACAATTGTAACGAGAAACAAACGAATTCCCTATAAAGGCAAAGAGCAAAAACTATCCAGTCCCACATGATGCGGACAGCGCTAGACGATTTATTGCATTTTGCAATTATTATAGACGTTTTATTAAAAACTTCGCCGACTATTCCCGGCACATAACTAGATTATGTAAAAAGAATGTCCCCTTTGAGTGGTCAACTGAATGTCAAAATGCATTCCAATATTTAAAAGATAAACTTATGGAACCCACTCTGTTACAGTACCCAGATTTTCAGAAAGAATTTTGCATAATCACCGATGCTAGTAAACAAGCATGTGGAGCGGTTTTAACTCAAAACCATAGCGGACTCCAACTCCCATTAGCATATGCATCACGATCATTCACAAAAGGTGAAAGTAACAAAAGTACTACAGAACAGGAATTAGCAGCAATTCATTGGGCAATTACCCATTTTCGACCATATATCTATGGTAAACACTTTACAGTAAAAACGGATCACAGACCACTAACATACCTATTTTCAATGGTCAATCCCAGATCAAAACTCACACGCATGCGGCTCGAATTAGAAGAATACGACTTTACAGTCGAGTATCTAAAGGGTAAAGATAATCATGTAGCAGATGCGTTATCAGGAATAACCATCACAGACCTAAAAAACATACAAAATACGAATAAAGTCCTGAAAGTCACTACCAGGCAACAGAGTAGACAGAAATCCTGCGCAGGAAAAGAACAAATAGAATTGCCTAGGCAATCTCTAACAAAAGCTTCAAAGCCCAACGTATATGAAGTCATCAACAATGACGAAGTACGTAAAGTAGTGACCTTGCATGTAAATAATAATTTATGTTTTTTCAAACATGAAAAAAAATTACTGCAAGATATGATGTTAGCGATTTGTATACTAATGGAACCCTTGACTTAGGTCAGTTTTTCCAAAGGCTTGAAACGCAGGCCGGTAAACAAAAAATCAGCCAACTCAAAGTGGCACCGTGGGAAAATATCTTTGAATACATTTCAATAGATAATTTTAAAAATATGGGCAATAAAATATTACGAACAATAAGAGTAGCGCTACTCAACCCGGTGACCCTAATTAAAAATGAAAAAGAAAAAGAAGCAATACTGTCTACATTACATGATGATCCCATACAAGGAGGACATACAGGCATAACAAAAACCTTGGCCAAGGTCAAAAGACATTATTTTTGGAAAGGTATGACTAAAGAAATAACCAATTACATACGAAAATGTCCAAAATGCCAAAAAGCTAAAGTAACCAAGCACACAATAACTCCATTGACTATTACAGAAACACCATACATGGCGACCGTGACAGGACCATATATGTCCTACGCGATGGATCAATCTAAGGATTGAAAAAAAAAGGAGAAAAATTTTTTCAAAAAAGTGTCAAAAATAATAAAGACAAAGAATGGCCGAAAAAAAATATAATAATATGTGATTTTGTTAAAAAAAAAAAATCGGACCAAGTCAAAAGAAAATTGATGAATTGGAAAAAGTATTGAAATAGTGTTGTCCCCAGTGCCAGTGCCAAGGAAAAAACCCAGCAGAAAGCCAAACCAGCCGTTTCGCCAGACCCATGCACGACTGCCGACGATATTACGCACAAACCCATGTTGCATTATAATTTATACCTTTAACTTTGGGGACTACAATGCGGCCAGGAATATATAATACCCAAGGAGATTTAACAGCCCGCGCTACAAAGAGCGTACACGCAATATAAAAACCTGTGCGAAGACCAGCACCGGCCCCCACCAGACCCAGCAAGGACCAATAATATAAGTGCGAGTGGCATAGGACCGCCCCTTGCACCGTCGATGGACAGTAACACAAACACTCCAGCAGCAGAAAATGCACCAGACTTCGCCGACGCTGCTCCTACCGAGCAAAGGGACGCACTCAGCCTACAAGAGGCCTTAGAAGTGTATCCAAACGATGGACCACGCCCACTCACAATAGCTGAGTACAGGGCAAGACAAGAAAAACGCCCCAGGAAGAAAACAAAGAGGGGCGGCCGGATCAAACGGCTGCTTCAACAACGACGTCTGGAGCGGGACCTGGAAAAAACATATACAAATGAAGAGGACCGACAGCGCTGCCAAGAGCGCATCAAGGAAATCAATAAACAACTTCGCCAATAAAAGAGCGAAGTAACGCAATTGAGCTGCAGAAATGCCATGCCTCATATTGCCAAT